TCCTAAAATAAAGGCGTTTGCCCAGAAGCCCGCCTTTCCCTCCTCCTCATCTCCTCTGGACTGTAGATTGATAAATGTGGGACACCAAAAAGGAAAGTGAAAAATCAAATCAGCAAACCTGAATGTGTCTTCCCCCCTAATGAGCCGCAGATTGAACATTTCAGTGGGGAAACATGTAGTCATTAGTCTCCATGCTCCACAGAAGCATTTAAAAGAAAGTTCAGTATAGAGGGGAAAAAAAAATCTAATTAGAATATAGGAGACACAGGAATAACTGTGAAGCATCAATTTAAGCATAATCACCACAATTACTGTTCCCATGGGTGTGCTGGAGTTACACAGTGATTGTTTTGGAGGAAGAAATTGCATTTGTGGGATATGACACCTTCTCGTCAGATGTCATGCATCTTCCCATCATCATGGCTGTAACTACTGTGTGTCAAGGGAACATCATCTTGTGTTGCCAGGGCAGTGGCTGTGTAAAACCATCCGTTACACAATAACAGTTTGTTAACCTTTAACAGTCAGCTGTAGAAGAAATCACAGTAATGATGTATTTTACATTTTCCTGTTTTTAAACTGTTTCAGAATTAAGAAAAAATTTTTGTCTGAAACTACGCATAAGTGTTGACGTGTACCTACGCAGCAAAGGGATTTATTGGTAGACGTAGGTCGGTGATGGTTGCACACGGACTAATGTGCACGCCTCCCAAATCTCAACTATGCATTGGCTGATGTGACTCGTAGCTGCCTGCCTGTTCGCTTGCTACAGGTACTCATATCCCTGAAAACATCACAGCAAATGTCTAATTGGCAATACTTGACTAGACTTGAACATCTATTCGCAATCTAAGTGGTTAGTTTCTCCCCTGAACAACATAACACTTAATAAAGTGGCATAATACCAGTCCTCGGACAAATAACGGGTTTGAACTCAGCTCAAAAAGGAGACATTAAAACGACAACATGGATTCTAATCTGACCGTTCTGACGGCGCTCACACAGCCAGAGGTTGGAGAGGAACTGGATCTAGGAGCACATACACAACTGATCTGAAAACATCTGATTTGGTACAACCGATCTGAAAACATCTGATTTGGTTTGTTCACACTGCTGTGGACGGGTTTGAACCCAGCTCAAAAAGGAGACATTAAAACGACCACATGGATTCTAATCTGACGGCGCTCACACAGCCAGAGGTTGGAGAGGAACTGGATCTAGGAGCACATACACAACTGATCTGAAAACATCTGATTTGGTTTGTTCACACTGCTGTGGACACATCAGGTCTGAGTCACTGGGAGGGAAAAACTGATTTGTAAACGTCAGCTGTGATGTGAACGTAGCTTCTGGTTCTGTGGAGGTCAATACAAATGAACAGGGATTTTAAAAATCTTGCCAAGAAACCTTTAGATCAGAACTAGTCCCTAAACTACCTGTATGACCAGACACAAACACACCGAGTTCTCCTTTAAACAGAATGAAATATTTGATACTGAAGATGATACCCAGACTAATCACATTTGTCCAGGACTTGAACCTGATTTTTGGCGCTTGCTGAAGATTATATTGATCATATAAGAACTATGCTGTGGTTGAAAGCAAACAATTTTAATATTATGATAAATGAACACTCTTACTAATAATGGAGGAAACCTGCGACTTAACAATGCTGTCTTTGACTGTGTGTGTTGTGTGTTTGCCTGCGGCTCCTTGTCAGATGAGCTGGGGGCTGATCAGAGACATGCTGGCTAATGAGAAGGTGCTCTCAGTGGTAAGGTCAGACAGGCGTTTCCTCAGCTGTGATCCTCTGCCCCCCTCCTCCCCCAGCGTCCCCTCCATCCGTCCGCTGCTCTCTTCAAACAGAGACCGTGATAAGACCAACTGAACAGGCCCATCATGTCACTGTGCTGCAGCCCAGAGAGGGAATGAAATCAAGCTGTCACTGCACAGCAACGCTGAGAGAGAGGTGAAGGAGAGGAGAGGCAGCCCCGTTCTCTCATTCCCTCCCCAGAGCCCATTATAGCAGGTGCCAACACTGTTGAGATGGATCACACACACACACACACACACACACACAGACTGGAGAATCTATCAGTGTAAGAACAGCCTATGAAAAAAATCTTCCTTAAAATGTGAGTTCATTTCAACTCCTTCTCAAATGCATATTTATAGGAGCACCCCCAACATCCAGAGTGTAAACTGTCCTAAACGTCGACCAGGATGTGCACACAGTTCACTCCTACAGGCCAGTTTGCAGTCTTTTTTATGCTGTTGGTATGGAGAGGCTGGCACAGTGACTGCAGCTGTAAAAAGAGAATAAAAAGGAGCAAGCTCTGCTTCTGTTAATAACATTTACATTATGGTGATTGAAGTGAGATAAACAGCAGCTATTATCTGCTCAAATGTATGCGGGTTATCACATCTATTTGTCTCTAAGTTGTTAAATGAGCTGTTTCTGCAACTGGAAATGATAAGAAAAGTGAATAAGAGAAAGATGAATAACTCTCATTGAAAAGCTAATTAACCACTCCCCACCAGTGTAGGGTTCTGCTGTTTATGTCCACCACTTGCTGCTCTTTTCTTCTGTTTATGCTTGTAATTAATTAAAATCATGAGAACGGGGGACATTAAACTGTGTTTTCAGCGTGGGAGTAATGTGAGCAGTGGGTAGTCGGCAGCTTTACTGTACTCCTCTGGTTCGGCTTATTTAATGATTTATAACTGTCGACATGCAGATCGCAGGAGTCCGCCTTAAAAACCCTTATTCAAATCCCGTATCCTGACTGTGTCAAACAGTTCATATTTGTCATGGGCAGCTGTAGCTTAGGAGATAGAGCAGGTTGTCTCCTAACCGGAGGGTTGGTGGTTTGATTCCCGGCTTCTCCAGCCCGCCTGTCAAAGTGTCCTGTCATGGAGGGGGTGTAGCTAAGAGAACAAGCATAATTAGCCTTTAAATTTTACAGTGCAGACATTAGTAGCAAGCTGGGAAACGGAGGCTGTGGTGCCCTTCGACAGGATTTTGTGTTAACTCTTTCCTGATGACCACAAAGTCTATAAAATGTAACTTGGGCTTGTTTCTGAAGAGTCCAGTTCCGTCTGTACCGCTCAGTCAGCCTGTTAGTTTTTCCTCAATGACATAAAACGTGTATTAAAGCCTTAAAGGTGTGAAAGGATAACGTGTACGTGTGATGCTTTGAAAGCAGGTGCTCAGTTTGATTATCCCACTGAACTGTCTTTGTTCTGTTTTTCCTTCTTTTTGCAACTTGTGAAATGTCTGGAAATCTCAATCTGTGGACCTGCAAAGCAAAAGAAGTGTGTGTGTGTGTGCGTGTGTGTGTGAGAAATGGGAACAGCTGGCTGAGGGAATGAGTACAGAGGGAGAGGTGATGGATGCGAGTGGAGCTCCTGTGACAGATGAGCTAACAGGTGTTCGCCACAGCCCTCAGAGAGACGCTATTTATGAGCTGGAAAAGACAGCCAGATGCAAAGCACACTACGCCACCGGCCTGCTCAATACCAAAACACATCACGTACATCTGCACAACTTTACTCAACAATGAGCAACACAGCAGAAGTGTCTTTAGGCAGTGGATGGGCTTTAGTTTGCTAAAGGCACTCACAGAGGTGCCTCTTCATCACTCTGCCCACACACTGTCCTCATACATCTAATGTACAATATTAAAACAAATGTGTAGAGCTGCAACACACTTTATCCTTTAACTCGGTTTCTTCAGTTTGCAGCTGAGAAACTATTCTATTACTTTGGTGTGCTGTTACTACTCATAAGAGAAGAGAAGAAGCTACACCGATAGTTACGACCGGCTTCCTTTTAAACATTAATACCAGCGGTTTATAACAGAGGGCAGCAGTTAGGTTAAAAATGTGTCAGTAATTTCGACACTGTTCAGGCACAAAGGAGAAGCAGGCCAACATGCTCTCAGTTTTGTGTTTTTGTCTAATTCATTTAAGAATAACACTGATTTATCAAACTATTTAGGGCTGTATCTGAGGGCAGATATGGTTCTAGTAACATCAGAGCTGGTTTGTGCCTCATGTACTGTTTTATCATACGTTCAAGTCACAGAGCTAAGCATCAATTTCTTTGAAGAAAAAAAAATACACACACATACATATATATATGGAGATACTGTAAAACTCAGAGTTAACACTTAGCCCTGTTCTCAAGGTATTTCCAGGACCATCAAAAACATTTCCAACCATCTGAATGACAAATATTCTGCCTGCTGCACAGTAAAGACTACGGTGCGATAGAAGTCTCTAACCCAGGCAGCCAGAAGTTATTCAACAACAGATTTACCCGTCATTTTATACTCAAAGAGCAAACAACTGAATGTAACTTCAGTGCAGACACGTATAAAGACATCACTGCATATGTCATTTACAGCAACCATCTTTTTTTGGGTTGAGACGGGAATGAAAGTTTACGGAGCACAAGCCGATGGTGAGGAGAGTTTCTGAGGACTGGAAACTGTACAGTGACCCATGTCATTCATAGCAGAATGCAACTTCCATGTGTTTGTGAGAATACAAATCTGTTCTGGTCCAACAGGGAATTAAAACTATGCCTCAGCTCTTAAGATGAAGTGGGTTTTATTGTTCATTTGTAAGTCGCTGATGAGAATGAGGCACAGTCTTGTCTTCACGTGGGGGCTCTGACATTTTAAGTCATCGTCATTGGGATCTGCATGAGCCTACTATCTGTGAAAAATCATGTGAAGGGGATTTGATGTTAAAGATGAAAATCCCATGATTTGGCCCTTGGCCTGCTGCTCCTGTGCTGTTAGCCCCATGATGTCACGAGTACATCGGCCCGCCAATCAGCAGAGCCCACCACTAATGAGTTTGTGTTTTAGCCACGTTCAGATAAAATCACTCAGACAGATGCTGGAGTCAAACAGTCAGTAAAAAAAAGAACAAATCAAACTGAAGAGCATAAGATTAGCGAGACAAAAAAGTTTTAACAAATCCACTTTTTTATTGTTCAGCAAAGCAATACAGATAAAAACACCTTGTTGATTTAAGGCTAAAGTGTATGTCTGGTTTTCTAAGTATTATTTTCCACAGAGAAGGCGCTTTAATACATGGTTCTGAGTTGAAATGTAAAACTACAACAGGCACAGAGAGACTAGCTGAGTGTTACAAAACTTCTAAAGGTTTATAACTGAAAAGGCACAGAGACTTCTCTGCTTCTCAAAGCTCACCTGTGTAAATGCTCAGGCACAGACATCAGTGAGACACACACCTCGGTGCTTTATATTTCTTAATGGAGTATCTCATACTGTAGGAACAATGATGAGGGACCACAGATTTGACCTGCAGCCCACTGCGGGGCACCACTGTACTTCTTCGCCCAAATATTTACGAATACAAATTTTCACTGTCACCAGTAAGTGACCAGTTAGCAGGACATTTTCATGATGAAGGAATGTCAGGAATGATTTATAGAAGTGGAGCGGACAAACAAATGAGGGCAGTGTCACATTTTCAAATGTACCTTCACTTCCATGATGTGCTCTGTGTGTTTTTAAAGGGCGTCTGTGCTTTATTCAAGGTTTTCACAAAGTTATTCCCCTGATTCAGGACAATCGCTTCCCCAGTGACAGACCATTAAAATAAGAAACGCTGCATGACTGCTCTTCCACTGTTTCCAGTTCATCCTCCAGGAGCGCTCTTCAGGGTCCAGGTCTTCACTTCCTGGGGTTTGGATACTAAGCTAGATGAACGGTCCCAAACCACAGAAATAAAATGTGTGAAATCTTTTATCAAGTGTTATCCCCTTTACCTTTACTAAGGGAAGCTGAGAGGAGGGGGCTCTATGCCTGAGCAAGGGCTTGTTTCAGGTCTCGGAGCAGCATGGAGCCCATGACGCTCTTTTCTGTGTTGATGGTAAGCAGGGCAGTGGAGGACTCCTTCAGCTGCAGTGATACCAGGACCAGAGCTCCACTGCTGACAGTCCGCCCGGCAAACCTGCAGGTGAATAACAACAAATGGCTCGACTTCACTAAACCACCGGGACAGACTTCTGTTAATGTGGTCTCACTGTGAATGAGCGCGGTAGCAAGTATTTTAAGCACATTTCAGAATAGAGACAAAGAAATGCAGTTTTTTTTTCTAGCAGAATGAGACTAATTTTGAGCAAATCCAAGTCATTTCTATTACATTTTTTAAAATATATTCTTTACATTATCTCCTTGTGATACAGGAAAAGATATAAGCAAAAGTGTTTTGCTGCTGCCCAAGCAAAACATCTCCTTGTCCACATACAACACCTAGAAGTGTAGCCAACCAATGTTTGACACTTACACCAATAAACAGCTCCTGTATAACAAACATCAACGCTGCCCAACCCTAGACCTATGCACTTAATTCACATTTCTCCCCTAAACCCATAAATCCTGCCATTAGAGATCCCCCAACACCTCACACCTTGTAATTACCCTAAATTAGCGAGTGAGACAAAGAAGGAAACTGATGTGACAGGAAACACAGAGCGCAGAGCAAGAGACAGTCTATTATCCCAGCTGACTAAAGAGCCATGTGGGCTGAGACACGCCCTTCATGCCAGTCAAACTGAATTTAGCCCGTTTTTATGGACTGTGGGTGTCTATGAGAGTGTGAGAGCCATGGGACCAGTATGGGGGATGCCCTGTCCCACCAGCTCCCTCTGGGCCATTGGGGGGTTTGTCAATCCGCTGTTTCCTTGGAGACCCTCGCAGCAGCAGAGGGGGCAAATTTGGATGCACATGGTCCCCATTGAGAGCACTAACAAGAGGCCGACCAGGGCTATGACCCAGAGTGACCCCCTTTGAGGGTGACAGAGCTGAGCTGGTCCCCCTCTCCCACTCCCCTCTGGTCCTCTGAGCCTCACCAGGCTAAGTCGCAGCCATCTGCCTCCATTTAGCACTACATCTCTTCAACAAAGACCCCCTGTGGCAGAGCGCTTAGTCCTGACAAACAGCCCACAAAGAGCCCCACTTAGGCCAGTCTAAAGTTTCTGAAGAGCCCCCACAGAGTGGCCTGGGGACAAGCGCCATCACAGAACCCGGCTACATGGGAGCAGCTAGCATGTCCACCAATTAGTGCACACACACACACACACACACATTAAAGACTGGGAGGGGGGACATGCATAAGGAAAAGGCACTAGCTCACAAACCCAGTGTGTCTTGGTGTTTCTCTGGGGAGCTGCTAAATTACCATCAACAGAGGAGAGCGAGTTTATCAGGGAGCTCTCAG